CAAACTGTGGCTTAGGTGAGCACTTCTTGATATGGTCTGGGGACCCTGTCACTTGACCCCTGGCATGCCCCCCACCCTCCAGTCCCATGTGCTCAGCACCTCCATGACCAGGCACACCAAGGCCATGTCCACTCTCCCGGCTTCCTCTGCTCAGCCCTTTTCCTCTCTTTTTTTTGACTCTTGGGGCTCCCCTTCTTGTTTCCTGGCTCTGACAGCATGTTTATTGTGCTCCCATACTTTGACTTCCTGCCTTCCTTGTGGGCTGAAGCCTTTCTGCAGAGGCTGCAAGGACATCCTTACTGACAATTGTGACCAATTAGTCTCCCTGTTTCAGTGAACTTCTTTTTTGAAAACCTTTCCTTTTGTGAAGCTGGACTTTCCTGGATTTCCTCATATCTTTCTTAAAGTTTTCTGCTGCTTTTTTCTTTTACATCTGCCAGTTTTCCTGCCCCCCCCCCCCCAGATAGGCAGTACACAAGGCAAGCACCTTCATCCTTTGTGCTTCTCTTTATGCTCTTGCCTTCGGAGGAGAGTTCATCCTTTCTTATCGTTTCAACTAACCTCTCTGTTCTGGGCCGACATTTTTTTCTGCTGGTAGCCACTAAGCAGCAATGTTGTCCATGCCGCGTGTTGACCATTTCCATAAGATTTTATTCCATGAATCTGTCGAAAGGTAAATGTATCACCTTTCTTCTTAAACTTTGCATTTTTATAACAATAATTCTCATTCTTACCTGGATTGCAAGCCTTGTAGTTACTTTTCTATATATAATTGCTCTTTATACCTCCGCGTATTATATGACAACGCGCTTTTGTGCTCTACCTGCTGCGGTTTCAAGTTAGCAGCATCAGCACCCCACTCTAAGTCTGCATTGATACCCCAGTTACTGCAACTGTCCAGTTTGCTTCCTACCAACACCACTGAGGTACAATCACTGGATTAATCCTTCTGAAATGTTTTCTGCTGATCAATAGTTGTCAGAGGCACATTATTGTTTAACATATCAACTCCCTAGTCCCTGCCCTCCTTATTCTCCTCAACCACTTTTCTTTGAACATTTCTCTTTCTGCGATATCTGTTAAACTATTCTCCTCATCCCACAAATTTATACTTACTCCTTCCCATCTGTTGTCATTCTGTATTAATCTAATAAGATTATTTATTGAACTGCTATAGCATGCTTATTTTTTTTCCACATAACATGTTGAACACCATGTTCTCCCTACTGAATATTAAGGATAATTACAACTGCTCGTATTTTTTAGGGCTTCCTATGGATAGGACCAGGACCAAGTATTTTAAGTGTATTATTACACTTATTCCTCATAATGAGTCTATGATTTAGAGACAATATGCCCATTTTACAGATGAGGAAGTGGGAACTTGCAGAGGCAGAGTGCACACCCGGCACATCTCTGAGGTTCTGGCTACTTGAGAGTACGTTACACGGGAGGGGGCATAGGTTTGGGAACTGGGCCAACCTGAATTCAAATTCTAACTTGGTCAAATCCTGGCAAGGAGAATTCAGATGAGATTGAATCTCTCTGAGCCTGAGTGCCTTTATTACAAAGCGAGGATTACATGAGACAGTTTGTACAAAGCCCCAATAGATAGCATTTCAAAAATATGTTTTCTTCTCTTTCATTTCTCTTCAGTTTCCTCTCCCTCACGGCCAGCCCTTCCAGACTGTTTCAAGCCCCACCAATCCCACTGTCCTCTGTATTTCAGGAGAGATTTTATTATGCCCAGTTTAATGTGGAGCTTAATTATAGCCCATCTTCATTCAGGTATATTCCTTCTGGATTCTTGGTTCGGTAAGAAGACGAGCAGCCCTTCTCATCTGCCCCATGAGAGCTCTATTGCTTGACATGAGAGATTGGGGCCAATGGTTCTAAAAGAAATAGAGTCACAAGAAATTCAGGATGGAATTTGGGGTTTGGAGAGTTATGATGATGTTCCAGAAGAAGACGATGTAACTATATTTGAATAATGTAGATTATTGTACTATACTTAAAAAAAATAACACATACCCTGAAAATAACCCCTAGGGTGTCTTCTTGAGGAAAAATAAATATAAGACCCTGTCTTATTTGGGGGGAAACACAGTAGCTGGGACTACAGGCATGCACCACCATGGAGACAGGGTCCTGCCTGCTATGTTGCCCAGATTGGTCTCAAACTCCTGGCTTCCAGCAATCCTCCCTTATCAGCCTCCCAAGTAGCTGGGATTATAGGCACAAGCCACTGTGCCTGGCTCTGGTTTTCTTTGTATAAGATCATGTCATCTGCAAACAGAGACAATTTTACTTTTTCCTTTTGGATGCCTTTTATTTTGTTTTTTTGCTGAATTGCTCTGGCTAAGACTTCCACTACTGTGTTGAATAGAAGTGGCAAGAGTGGACATCTTGTCTTGTTTCTGACTTAAAGGAGAAGCTTTTAATTTTCACTGTTGAGTATGATATTAGTTGTGGGTTTATCATATATGGCCTTTATTGTGTTGAGGTATATTTCTTCTATTCATAATTTGTTGAGAGTTTTTATCATGAAAAGATGGTGGATTTTGTGAAATAGTTTTTCTGCATAGGTTGAGATGACCATATGGTTTTTGTCCTTCATTATGTTAATGTCCTATATCACATTGATTTATGTATTTTGAAACATTATTGCATCCCTGGGATAAAGCACACTTGATCATGGTAAATGATTCTTTAAATGTTTTATTGAATTGGATTTTCAACTGTTTTGTTGAGGATTTTTGCATCTATGTTCATCAGGGATATTGGCCTGTGATTTTCTTTTCTTGTATTACCCTTGTCTGGTTTGGTATTAAGGCAATGCTGACCTCATAGAATGAGTTTGAAAGTGTTCCTATTTCTTCAGTTTTTTGGAAGAATTTGGGAAGGATTGATATTAGTTATCTTTAAATGTTTGGTAGAATTCATCAGGTCCTGAGATTTTCTTTAATGGGAGAATTTTATCACTGATTCAATCTTCCTACTTGTTATTGGTCTATTCAGATTTTCTGTTTTTTCATAATTCTATCTTAGTAAGTTGTATGTGTCTAGAAATCTATTTCTTCTAGGTTATTCAATTTGTTGGTGTATAATTGTAGTAGTCTTTTTGTTTTATTGGTGTATTTATATCAGTGATAATGTTTCCTCTTTCATTTCTGATTTTACTTTTTGAGTTTTCTCTCCTTTTCTCTTAGTTTAATGGTTTGTCGATTTTGTTCCTTTTCAAAAAATCAACTCTTAATTTTATTGATCTTTTCTATTCTATTGTTTTTCTGGTCTCTATTGTTTTGTTTGTCGATTTTGTTCCTTTTCAAAAAATCAACTCTTAATTTTATTGATCTTTTCTATTCTATTGTTTTTCTGGTCTCTATTGTTTTGTTTCTGCCCTGACCTTATTATTTCCTTCTTTCTAATAACTTTGAGCTTAGTTTGTTTTTCTTTTTTTAGTTTCCTGAGATGTAATGTTAGGTTGCTTATTTGAGATATTTCTTCTTTTTTTTTAGGTTAGCGTTTATTGCTATAAACCTCCCTCTTAGGACTGCTTTGGCTGCATTCAATGGGATTTGGTATGATGTGTGTCTGATTTCATTAGTCTCAAGGTATTTTTAATTTCCATTTTAATTTATTTTTTCACTCATTGGTTGCTCAGGAGCATGTTGTTTAATTTCCATGTATTTGTGAATTTTCTGAAATTCTTCCTGTTGTCGATTTCTAGTTTCATACCATTGTGGTGGGAAAAGATATGATTTCAGTCTTTTAAAATTTGTTGAGACTTGTTTTGTAGTGTAGCTTATGTTCTATTATGGAGAATAATCCATGAGTGCCTGAGAAGTATATGTATTCTGCTGCTATTGGATGGAATGTTCTATGTATATCTGTTAGGTTCATTTAGTCTGATGTTTTCATATTGATTTTCCATCTGGATCATCTGTTCATTGCTGAAAGTGGAATATTGAAGTTCCCTATTATTATTATTATATATTACCACCTATCTCTTCTTTCATATCTCTTAATATCTGCTTTATATATTTAAGTGCTCCATTCCTGGATACATATATAATTATAACTTATAGCTTCTTGATGAATTTATCCCTTTATCACTATAAAATGACTTTCTTTGTCTCATTTTACAGTTCTTGACTTAATGTGTATTTTATCTAAATATAACTGTCCCTATTGTCTTTTGGTTTCTGTTTGCATGGAATATCTTTTTCCATCATTTCAACTTCAGTCTATATGTGTTGGTAAATGTGAAGTGGGTTTCTTGTGGGAAGCATGTAGTTGGGTTTTGTTTTCTTATTTATTCAGCCACTCTATGCCTTTTGATTAGCTACTAATCCATTTACATTCAAGGTAATTATTGATAGCTAAAGACTTACTATTGCCCTTTTATTAATCATTTTCTGATTGTTTTGGAGTTCCTTTCTTCCTTTCTTCCTCTCTCACTGTCTTCCATTGTGACTTGGTGATTTTTTTCTAGATATATGCTTTGATTTCTTTTATCTTTTGTTTACGTACTATAGGTTTTTGCTTTGTGGTTACTATTAGGGTTATATAAAACATTTTATAGTTATAACTGGCTATTTTAAGCTGATATAAAAAGTCTGTACTTTTATGACCCACCCCTTCAACATTTTATGGTTTACAATTTATGTCTCTTTATATTTGTGCATCCCTTAACAAATTATTGTGGCTGTTATTATTTTTAATAGTTTTGTTGTTTAACCTTCATACTTCCTGGTTATATTTTAAGAGCAGGGGCCATGTATTTTAATTTTCTGTTTTTCATTATGCTCAACATGGTGGTGGACATGGAATAAATACTCAGTTTATTCCTTTGTAATTGACATATTTCTTTAGGAAGTGATACTGTTTGGTCCAGTGATATCTAGTACCATCACCCACACTATTGTTGTGCACCCCTGGTTCTACTAGCCTGCCAGTGTTAATGACCTTCTTCCTCTCTTCTCTCTCCCCACCCACAGCGTGTGCATTCCGATACAATGGGCTGTCCTTTGTCTACCTTATCTACCTCTTGCTCATTCCTCTGTTCTCAGAACCAACAAAAGTGACGATGCAAGGTAAGAGATCTTTACTATTCCATACCATAGAGTTATACAGTCGGAATGTATTTTGCTGGGCTACTGGGAATTGTCTTTATCCAATGGCAGAGATGTTATCTGTGCAGCAGGGCTGGTGTGGCACAGAGTGGGTATCAAACATTATAACAGCTGCATCAAGTAGAGCTATATGGAACTTGTTTGTGATTCAACATGTTTTTGTCACTACACAACTAATAAGTTCTGTATTAGGTCTTCATAAGTAGGCTTGGCGGTATAACTGGAATGCTTTTGCTAGTTAACACTAACTCGAAGTACTGTCAATAAAATAAGGAAAATGTCATTACAACATTGGCACATACATTTATATATTGGTTTGCTGCGGTGAATGTGGTGGCAGTTGGAAGAGGCAGAGCTATGTCTAACAGTTTTCAGACACTAGGCAGGAGAATGATGTAGGAAGGCTGGTCTTAGTCATAACTTGTTCATGCATCAGTTGAGATTTCTTAAATATACCTCAATAACATAATGAAAGAGAGTGATTTGCATTGAAGTTATAATTCCTCAAGCTTTTCCCTGCAAAGCTTTAGATTCCTTTTTGGTTGCTTTTCAAGAACCTAAAAGTATAGAAAAGCATAGTGACTATATTTTCTGAGGCTCTAATTAGGAAGCATGGTCTGGTTTGTGAATTTTTTTATTTGAAGTTCTTTCACAAGTATTAAATTGAACCACACTGAGTTAATTTAATAAATTGTATTTTAAAACACTACTATTATAGGAAATAACGACTGTGCCAAGTGTCTTAGGTAAGTGTAATGGCTGTATGTTTACATGACTGGAAAAGGAAGTTGTTTGACCCCACCTACAGAGTGGCATGGGAAAGGTCATTGATGATGATTTCCTTGTTAATGATGGCCTCTTTACAAAAAGAAGTAAAGACCATGTGTACACAAAACATAGAGTAATGACTCTATCTTTCCCATTCTCTCCATTTACTATAAAATTCATAAAGCACATTATGACCATTCATCCTAACAGTTATGACTGTAGATATGACATGTTGGCTTTTCTGTCTCTAGAAAAACCTAAATAATGCTTCTATGTCACCTAAAGCCTTAATACATAAAGTTAAGAAATGGTAGAGAAATGTGAGTTTATGCCAAACTTTATCAAACCAAAAGTGTATTGTTTATGGGGCCCCATCCACAACAGTCTCATTCCTTAAGGGTTCAGCATAAATAGAATAGTTTCTGTCCTCAGAAACAAGATTATAACATACAGGCAACTCCTATTTCGTGGTTTGGAGCTCATTTTTCTAAGAAATAAGGTTTTGGGTTCATTCATAATAAAGTGCTTTAAAAATAAGTACCTTTTTATATTCAATTAAATAATTTATCACTTTTATATCAAGGTGGCCCTTTATTATTTTATTTGGAAATCAGGTGACTTGGATTTCCTCCTTTATACATCTGTGATACCCCCTAACTTTCCCTTTTTCCCAAACTAACCAGCCCTGAATGGGCAACAGTGTCAGAAATGCCCATTGGTTTGTGCCCAGGTGCATTGGTTTATGCTCAGGTGCAACAGAAACTGACACTCTCAGAAAGATTGTAGATTAAACATAAAATCAAAAGGAAAAAATAAACCCTTTCTATGTATATAAATATCCCAAATTAACAAATGTTACAAGGTCAGTGCACAAACAAAGCACAAATGAGTTCACAGACATCTGTAGGTGCTTTTCATAATAGGAGAGAAGGTAAGAATGGGTTGGAAAGGGAAGCCCTCATGTATCTTTCCAGTTGGCATCTATGAGCAGCATTTTGTGGATTTTTCTCTTTCCTGCATTTTAGTATAAAGAACCATGACTGATATTCAACATAACTTTATTTATTTATTTGTTTGTTTATGTAATTGCAGAGGGACACTAAGACAGGATGTCACACATTTTTTCTGAATATATAGGACTTACAACCCATGCATTTCTAAAATCTGTGTTTTGAGACATCCTGGGTTAGAGATTTCTAGTGGTGCAAGATCAACATATGCAAGTGATGGACAGGGAACAGTGAATGCAATGTAGCTTTTCAGGGAGACAGAGGTTTAAACATGCTCAGACTTTGGAGTTTGTGTTTGTACACATGTCTCATGAATTGGTAAGAAAGTGCATTAGCAGATTGAAAGGGTTATCAGCAAGCTCTGCACTCCCTGCTCCCAGACAGTCTGTGCCTGAAACAGTGAGTGAGTTTGAATTGGCCTCAGGAGCCTATCAGGCCACTGTACATTGCTGGGACCCTGTCCTGATACAGACCCCACCTGAACTGGAAGTGAGATGCAGACGTAAAAATTGCTCCACGACCTTCTGTCTTCTGTTTGGTCTGATGAGTTGTGTGTGTGTGTGTGTGTGTGTGTGTGTGTGTGTGACCATGTTTCCTATAAGTATATCTCAATATATGGAGAATATTAGTGTCATAAATTACAGGATGGTTCTTTAATGTAGTTCTTGAATATAGTTCTTGGGGTAGTCTTAAATATAAAATTCCAGTCTTTCCACTGTTGTTGTTTAGGCCAGGCATGATCACTTATTTTAATCTCTTTGCTATGAGCAGGAGAAAGATTATCTGACTGTTCCTGGTATTTTCCTCATGTCTATGATTAAACAGAAGATGTGTTGTCAGGCCTTATCCTACTGTCCTGTAGAAGAAGATTATCAATTAGTTATCTGGTGAAATGTTAACAAATTTTGTTTTTAAAAATTAGAGTGATGAAAAATGCTTGGAGTCTCAATCTGCTTAATTTGTGGGTGTTGTCTGATTATTGAGGGCTGCGACTTACAGAATCACCAAATTCTAGAGCTAGAAGAGTTTTAGTAGTTATTAAGCAGCAACCAGTGCTGGAATCTCTTTTGCAACAGCCATGCCAGCTAGCCACGTGGTTTCTTCTCATATACTAGTGGTGCCAGGGAGCTATCTGTTGCCCTGAAAGTCTATAATATCTTCAAATAGTTCTTTCTTTAATCAACCTGAAATCCCCTTCCCTGAAAATCCAAGCCATTTTTTTCTGACCTAGAGCAACAAAGAGAGAGTTAACAGAGAACCAGACGATGACTTTACAATATAATTGTGAAAGGATTCATTAAAAAATAGGGATTTGACTAAATTTCCTAAGTCTTTTATAAATCTTAGATTTTTAGAATTCTCGATTTTCTGTTTCAGATCTTCAAATGTGCAATTATCTCAGTAGGATTATATTAGTCAGGGCCCAACCAGAAATCATGAATCACTCTAGATATTTTACAAAGAGAACATTTAATAAAGGGGATTGGTTATTAAAAGCAATGAAAAAGCCGAGAAGCTGAAAAGAATGTTGAAACATCTGAAATACCAGCAAGGCAGGAAGGCTTGGGGGAGCCAGGAGGGCAGCATCAACAGGAGAAGGTCAGAAAACAGATGTGTGTGAGAACAGGCCTTGCCTGGGCCTCTTCACTGTCAGCTGTGGCCACCAACTGTGGCTGTTCCAATGCCCAGTGGTGATCATCATCTCTCACTTAAGTCTTTTTTCATTGGGCAGGGTATTTCACATTACTCAAAGGTGGGATTTCTGGACTGTTCCATCCAGACTTATTTCCTCTGGAGGCTCTTCTCTCTGTCAGAATCTCTTCTAATGGGTTGTGTGCAGTGGCTGCTGTGGTGTAAGTTGGGAATCCCCTTCAGGACTGAGGCATTATTCCCAGCTGCCAGGAAACATTTCTGTGACAACTGACAGCAGAATCCCTCCCTGGGAGTTGGTGGTGGCTGAAGGGAGCTACCTTCCATGAACTTCTCCTCCCCAGACCAGGGGAAGCCTACACCCAGTGATTGATTGATTATTCAACACGGTCTGCAAAGGCCTCAAGGTTGGGAGTCTTTGAAGGGCTGTGGCAGCTCCAGAACATCCTATCAGCTGAGGCCCCCATTGTAAGAACATAACAATTTAGTCTTTCCCGAGGGTCCTGCATTCCTCACTCCCTGACAGGTATCTCTGCTCAGTGATCCTCCTGCCATGTGAATCCACGTCAGCCTCTATTCTGGGGAACCAGACCTGCAAGGATCCGTGAAGCAGAGACCACTGTCTGATGGAGCTCAGCAGGCAGAGCAGTCAGCATGAGGAAGGGGAAAGGGGGAGGCCTTGATACAGAAGCAGCCTCAGCACTCACGTACAAGGGCAAAGATATCTTTCTGGGTGCTGCAGCCAAGGCCCAGTGTGGCTCCAAGTCCCTGCCTTGACCTGGACATCACTTCTTTGGGTCAAATTTTCCCCTCTTAAAAATGGAGATCCATATTCTTTAGGGCTGTTAGGCTTTGTGAGCATCAAATGAGCAGATATAATTTTAAACAAAAAATAAAATTATTACACAAATAGTAGTTATGATTAGTTGTAGAATTCACACAGACTTGATTGGGCACATGTGTACCTTCCCAGTTCTCTCTGCCTGTGGTGCTCTTTCGAGTGAGTGCCCTCTTTCCATAATTCAGATTTATCTCACACGGCCCTCCTCAGAACCACCTTCCCTTACCTCCCTAGCTAAAGCTTCCCTACCCCGTTCCAACTTTCATTTTTCATGCTGTGATCCAGTTTTGTTTCTCCCAATATTTATAGCTATCTGAACTTATTTGTGCAGCCAACGCATAGCAAGAGCAGGACTTGAGGGCCCTGGCCATATAGCTATTCCTCTGTGACTGGGTAAAATTCTAAGCAGTCCACAAAACTCATCTGCTAACTCTTAGATAGTAAAAGGGACTCTGGTAACTTTAGTGCCTCAGTCTGTCCTATCAGTAATTCATATCCCCAGGCCAGTGCAACAATTATTAGAGACTATAAGACATTATTTAAAGCTAAAGCTTCTTCCCAATGTGTGCCACTGCCTGTGGAAACCTGGAGAGGCGACGGGGCTGGGGGCTCCCCTCTAACCCCTCGTGTCTCCGCCCCTCCGCCACCCAGGCTGCTCCTGCCCTAAGCTGGGCCAAGTCTTGCTCGGTGTG